GGGAGCTAAAGATCAAAGTGATGTCAAGGATAACCCTTAAAACTGCAAGAGTTGAAACTCATTTCCAAAGATGAATGGGCAAAAATGGTGGAGACATGCAGAGAGCCGGTCAGCAATTACAGGAAGTGTTTCATTGCTGTAATGGCAAAGGCTTTTCTACTGATTATTGATGAGGGTATGAATAATTTTGGACTTGACTGTACTTGGGGTCTGAATCATGAGGTCCTAATCCTAATATTAACACTGTAATGTATTTATCCAGGAAAAAAGTGTTGTTTAAAACGTTAAATATTTTTTTTAGTTATAAGATTTGAAAAAACAAAAAATATTTACAAAGTTAACAGATTTTTCATTTTCTATACTCAGAATACATTTTGGTTTGCTGTTATTGTTGTGTATAATTGATACCTGTACCACCGTTCAGTTTTTGTATTCTGAACACCAAAACTTTGACGTTTAATATCACAAAACTGCACAAAATGCAAATTATACTTTTTAATTTCAAGGGGACACTCTGACGAGACTAAACAGATAAATATTGGAATAAAACAGCTGAAACTGTTACATTTTTTAAAGAAAAAAGGTTAGGATGGACCAGCAGGTACATAATGAAATGAAGAATGTATGTCATGGTGGTAAGATGTGCATTTGCATTAAAGCACTGGTGTACAGGTTATTTTAAAGTGAAATAGGCTTTTGATTTCAGAAACCTGACACACACCCACACTGTGACACTCTCGGTGTCACCCGACTGAAATAATCCTGGAGCCACCACGGCTAAAAGACATTAGTAGGAGAGACATGCATGAGATGATGACTGTTAACGCTGCTCCCCCTCTTAATGTTTAAAACCTAATGTTAAGAGTGAAGTTCCTCCTTTTAGATCCAAGTAAAACAGCAGGCAACACGACGTCCGCATTGAACTTATTATTAAAAAGCTTTTCATGCATGAAATGCTCATAAAGATTTTATTTTCTACATTTAAGAAAAGTCGGAAAAGAAGGAACTCCTCAATAAATGATGAAGGCAGATTCCTATTTAAAACAATCCAGAGCAGCAGCAGCTCAATATTAAAACACACAGGCAGAAGCACTTATACACACATGCATGCACAAGTTCACCTTTTCCCCCTCACTCAGTTTAACACAGACATCCACATATACTCTGTATTTTTTTCTCTTTTTTTATCATATAATGGTCTGCCCAGGCAGGATTTTCCATTTTATTTTCCTTTCTCTCGCCCCTCATCCATTATCAAACACTTACAGGAACACAATCCCAGTCTGAAGTGCTCTCATCCCTGTCTCTACTCCAAGCTATCTCCTCAGGATGGCCGGACCACCAAGTGTCGGTCATTTCAAACACAAATCACAGGGCAGCAGCAGGCACCCCTATCATTACCTTTGCATGTTTTTGTTCTCTAGAGTCATCAAATGTTTCTCTTGTCTTTTTTTTTGTGTCACTTTAATCACTTTCACAAAGCCCATCACATCCTGATCAGGAAACAAAGCGTCAAATCTGTAACACCGCCAAAGACTCACCATCAAGTGATATTTTGGAAGTTACAGCAAGCTAGCAACATTTGTTCGGCAATGAAAGTGGCAAAAAATAGAAGGAGCTGTGGAGCCAACAGCTGCAGTCCTGATGCTGGACCTGCAAACACTAAGTCATCTGAGCTGTCTGTCAATCATTAGTGTCTTTTTTGGATGCATTTAAACATTTTGATGAATAAAAACAGAAAGCTTTCAGCTGCTATCCCCTTAATGATGCATTAAGTGAGCACTGGCCTGTGGTTTCTGCTGTCTTGCTGTTTTAGTTAGGATGTCTTCAAGTACCACAGCTGAGAAAGTGGGTATTTGTGCTGTGAATCCTTAAAGGACTGTGGATAATTAGGGTGTGGGCGTGTGTGTAGGTGCAATTTGAGTGGAGGACATGGATTGATAGACAGCTTTGTAAACATACATTAGATGGTTCTGTTGCCCAGCCAGCTTGTTGTAGAGGTTGAACGGAGGACTTAGGGTATTGTAGTTTAACACTAACAGTAGGACACATCAGGAAAGAGTGGGGACATTTAGAGAGAGGGATGATCCCTGTTAATTTTGAGCAACGTTGGTGAGACATTGGTCTCCCAAAATCTTAGCCCCACTGGCCACCTCTGCCTGTGGCTTAAACTGATGCTTACAATGAATCATGGCCCACTCGTATCTTTAGGTCTCTGTCCTAAAGATGATAAATTCATTCATCACTGCAGCCTGGAAGCAAGCAGCACAAGCTGCACTCACAGGAGCTCTAATTAAAGGTTTCTGCAGCCATGTCGCCCTCAGAAAACCATTTCCTAACACAGTACGGATTGCAAAAGTTCAAAACTAAGATCTGAAAGTTTGGTGCTTCTTATCTGTTGCTGGACGTCACAGCCTATAGGAACAATCCTGTCCTTGAATAAAAGTCAGTGCGGTTCAGAGGGTAAACTCTGACCGCCTCTGACATTGTTTCATGTTTGCACAGTGCAGATCAAATGCTTGTTGAGGATTCGGTTCCTCGAGAGGTTGATTATGGTTGGCCTGAGGTAAGCACTGTGTAGAACTGTCAATAAGGCTTCATTGCTAAAAACTCCAGTAAGATTAAAAGACCCCACATGCTCATTTTTCTTTTAAACATGTAAAATATAGGTTTGACAGTGTACTAAATATGTACATCTCACAATACCAGAAAGACCTACAGCAGTTAATATGAACATTATAAATTAAACTGAGCACCAGTAATGCTGTGAAAATCTCATTTTAAATAGTATTCAAACACTTGGGTCAATGACTTCTGTTGATACTCTGCATTTACACCACTAGTCTAAAAGACTTTCTCACACAGTTATCATGTAATTTAATCAATCAACTACCAGAAACAAAAAGGGATGTCAATTTTGATCAAGGGAAAAATGTCAATTTTGACGGCATGATTGATGTCCTCTCAACAATTTATTGAGTTTCTCTGTGTAAGATATGATGCACAAACCCATTAAACAGATTCTAATGGTGCAGAAATATTAAAAACTCTCCAATGTTTAAATGGAAATAAAGAGCATCTTTCAGGGCTTTAAATCATTTTGACTGTATATAAAAAAAAATATAAGAAGTCGGATCCACACACTAATAACCTGTAACACAAATAACACACGGCACCAGTTTTGTGGCACCTTGAGTTATTGTCCTCCACTGCAGGACTCACTTCTGACCTGGTAGCATAGCAAGCGCCTGTGACCTTAGTTTTGCGTACGAGACACACAGAAGCTTTTTAGCCAGGCTGCTAACAATAAAAGCAAACAAGTTTCTTACCTTAGCACGTGCGGGTCGGTGCGGTACGCTGGTAGAACGTGGAGCTGGCTGGTGTGTCTCTGGTGAAATGTCAAACTTAGTCAGCAGGGCTGCTTTCAGGTCCATGTAGCAGTGGGCTCTCTCCTGGTCCATTGCAGTGTAGGCCTCCAATGCCTTACCCATCATTCTAGTTTAAGAATAAAATAGCTACCCTTTGCTCTTGATGACAGAAGTACTTCAGTCACAAAGTAACCCTGACAAGGCACACCTGTGAAGTAAAAACCATTTCAGGTGACTGCCTCATGAAGCTCAATGAGAGAACAGCAAAAGTTTGCAGCGCTATCAAAAAAAGCAAAAGGTGGATACTTTAAGGAATCTAAAATATAAAACATATTTTCAGGTATTTCAAACTTTTTTCTTCAGCACATGATTTCACATGTGTTCATTCATAGTTTTGATGCTTTCACTGAGAATCTACAATTTAAATAGTAATGAGAATAAAGAAAATGCATTAAATGAAGTGTGTCCAAACTTTTGGCCTGTATTGTATTGTGTGTGTGTGTGTGTGTGTGTGTGTGTGTGTGTGTGTGTGTGTGTGTGTGTGTGTTGCAGCCAGTGGGTGAATACTATACTCCTCGCAACTGTAATGTTACCGCGAAGCTGCGGTAATGTATCGTTATTCACGACGTCGGCGTCATCACTCACGTGACCAGGCAGGAGGGTCTCGCTGCTCACTGCTGCTCCTGCTGCTCCTGAGCTGCTGTTACTCCCTCCGCTAGCATGAAAGTTTACTCCGGTGTGACAGTTGGCTTCGGTATTTAACTTCCAAAAACTGGAGCTGTGTGGCGCTGCCTCTACTTCCTGTTTGCCCCCGTCACTGTTAGTCGTCCTTTTTTGACGAACAAAAAATCCTCTTATATCCATTTTTTCTATGTTTACCGGCGAGTCCACCTTCCGCCACGCCGAGTCCATCTATGAATATTTGAACTTTAACTCGGTAAACGGCCCGCCCTCCTTTACCTGTAATTGGCTAACACGTTGCCTTCGATCGATTTGATTTGGTTGGATTGATTGACATGTCAAGAAAGATGGGATTAATTGAAGATGACTACTCTGACGGAAAAAACAAACCCCAAATCAATTTGTAGAAAATGTTGCTTTTAGTCCAGGACCGGCACAGCTAACTCGGTGGGCGGGCACGCCCCCCCCCCCCCCCCCCCCCCAATGCGGTCTGGCTTATATGGATATAAAAAAAAATACCAAACATGATGTGAATCATGAATTTATCCTTAATGTGTATGAAGCTATATGATATAAATGTAGGCTTTGTAATGTCATGCATGTGGTACAATATGAAACCATGGGATACAGTATGATAAGGTGCAAAGATGTTCATAGATATACAGTTTGACAATTGGTCACTGCTGCACTCATTAACCAGCTCATTATCGCTTCCACTGGCATTAAACTGTACTGTGATACAGTGCATCAAACAGGAAATGATGCTGAACAGTGAAGTTTGATACGCAACGGTTTGATGTGATCCAATATGAAGCAAGTTTTTTTTTTTTTTGTCTCTTTTTCTGTAGATTTAAGACACACAGCAGAGATATGAATGTTTCTGTCGTCTTAAAGCATTATAAATACCTGGATGTATACAGTTGTTGGCTTTGCTGATTTGCATATCCCAGAGGATTGAACTGATGAAGTCTCAGTGTTCTTATCTGCATCCTGATTTCTTCACTTGGACCGACATTTCTACTTTGTGCAGTTTGAACCTTTTCTTCTGAGGTTCAAAAAGACAGTATATTAAACCCTCTGAATGGCCCTCTGAACAAATAATGTTAAGTGCAGACTCAAAATACTGTATATAGTAGAACATAATCAGCATCCAACATCAGAGGATGTTACAGTTCAAGTTTTGACAGTTTTCTGGAGACAGAGATACTTTTATCTGCTAGTCTCTTGATGAAGCTCATATAGACTGAAGTCAATGGGTCTTCAGATGTCTGAATCCTACCCCCCGCCCCCGCATCATGCTGTGAGTGTAGGTGTGAACAATACAGTCAGGTGGATTTTCATGCGAGAGCCCTAAAAATTTTCAAGAGTGCATGTGTGAATACGGCTTTGGTGAACAACACTCAAGGATATGTCATTCAATGGTCAGTGGTAATTGTTATAGCAGTAGACATGTCCCTCAACTTTCTTAAATAAAATTTAGAGTACCTTGCTCTGAAACTGTAACATGAGCTGTTAAACCTGGAATAAAGTTAAAGTCAAAGGAGATCTATGAAAATTGTCCCTGAGTGACGAAAAAAACTCCTTGATTAATTTAATATTGACATTTATTTGGCTCCATATCTCGTTTGTTTGGCTCCTTGTCAGGGACCGTTGATCACACACCTATCGGTTGTTGATAATGTTCATGTCATTGTACAACCTGATTTGCATAGGCTGAGACTTAAAGCTCCTGTGAGAAGTTCTTGTTCTTGCACAAAATAGACTAAAATGTGTATTTGTACTTTATGGTGCCCAAAAGAAAACTAAACCAGGAGGAACATGATTAGCGATTTTAATGTAGTAGCTTTTAAATCCCAAACTACTGGCAGGAGGCAAGTGTCTGCTGAGAGGCAGAAGAAACAGCTCTGTTTTTACAATTTCCTCACAACATGTTCTTAGTATATTGTAAGTTTGACATTCGAAAGACATCACATATGCACGTACAGAACAAGATAATCAGAGTTTGTAGTTTCCGCAGGAGACGCCAAGGTTGTCACATATCAGAAAGTCCTCAGAGGAGCTTTAAGACCCATAATGACAATGAAGAGGTTTTATTTTGTCCTGCCAAGACACAACAAGACAGCCTTAAATCAGTCTGAACCATGTCTAAAGACTTTGTTACACAAATCACAGAGATCACACGAGTGGGCCCAGACTTCAGCCCATCTCTAATGATTTTATTCAGGCTCTGGAAATGGTTCTTTTTTTTTAATACTGACTCAAAATCACATGGGAAGTTATGTGATGTAAGTCCAGCCTCAGTCCTCTTCTGGTTGAAATCATTTAGACGTATTTTCAGCACTAAACAAATTCAAATAGTTTCAGCAGAAATATGGTAGATCACGGTGGTACTGTTTTACCTTTATATTACATCAATTTGCTCATTGAATATCATTTCTATATGCATTTGTGTAAAAAGTCATCTTTTCGGTGTATTCATGTATGTCCGTACAGTGAGAGTGTGTGTAGGCTGCTTTGGAGGCCAGTATTGAGTGCCACCTCAGCTCCTCTATGGCCTTGATGAAATATAAAGCAGGAGTGTTTTTCACCGAATCAGCATGCTGGTAATTGCATGCGACAGAAATGGATTTCCTGTCACTCCTGGGCTTTATGAAGAGGCCTGAGCCACTTTTTTTTCCTCTCACAACATGTGTTTTCATTTTCAGCTTCGCAGAAAGGTGATGAATTAGCTGACACTTTTATCGCCTTTGACTGAAACCTGACAAAATGTATGACGGCTCCAAAATAAGTCCATGATGGGTACTCTGGATTTTTCCTTTTGTTCCTTTCCAGCTCCTGAGGAGTTTTATTTATTTATTTTCCACAGAGTTGGCCAGCTTTACTTAGCACAGACAAATGAATCAAAGTGTGATTCTTGGAGCTGTAATTTATTTTCCATTTAAGTAATCAAAGTGGAACAAATCGCTGATATGATAAGAGGAGCTTGCCTTGGCATTAGATTCTGATGAGAGTAGCATTTATAGAGAAACATTAAAAAAAGTTCTGGTCAGGAAAAAAAAAATCTTGGTTCAATGATTTTCCACCAGAACAATTTTTCCATTTTCTAAGTCATGAAACAATATTTTATCATGAAGCTTAATTTCACATGTTTGTGTGAAGACGAGGCTGGGGGGAAATATGAGAGAGATCTCTGCTTGCATGTATTGCACCCTTCCTGCAAACATATTTCATGGTGCTCATACACTCAGCCTTGCATGACTGGTCCTTTTGGAGGGTCACTTATTGAACCGTGACTTATTGGTGCTTCCAGAGCAGCTGGGCTGGCTTGGATTGGTTTGTCAGGGTGGAGGAAGCCATCAGGCTCTCTGATTATCTCAAGCTGCTAGTTTATGCAGCTGATGGTGGTTGAAAAATGTATGCAATGCAATAATGATACTTCATCATTTTATAAGCCATATTCAGTTGCCATAAATGTCCCACCAGTATGGTCTGAATTATTTCCAAATAACTCTTTAACAATCCTGAGCTCTTTGCATGGTACAGTTTGAATGTGCATTTGTCCAGGCAGTGATAAAGTGTTTACGGACAATAGATTTGGGAAATTGCTTCATGTCCGTGCAGTGACTTTCACTACAGAGCCCTGTATGTTTTCAAGACAGTGCTGCCTGCAAGCTCTAAGATCACAGCCACACAGTGCTATCTTTTGAGACTTGTCCTTTTATTAAGAGATTCCTCCAGATACCTGAATCTTTCAATGATTTCAGATTTTATTGAGGGGATTGCCCCTTGAGATGCACCATCTCATTTCCGAGGGGGTCGCAGAAAACATAAAAAGAGCACATAAACACATACTGCATAGATATATAGATACTTACATGTATACATACATACATAGATAGATACATACGCACAAACATATACATACATAGCATACATACACATAGCTTGCTCACCCTCTCCCACCCACCCCACAGACCACCACACCATCAGCTGATAAACAACACAATTATAAATAAATAAATAAATAAATAAAGGGCACAGTGAGAGTACATTCAAATATGTTAGGATAAAGCAAGCACAACCAGTCTACAAACATGAACAGGTCGGGTCCAAATGTAAATAAAGGGAAGTCCTGAAGCGACCGATGGATGAGATAGATCTGAGAGATAGGGGGAGATTATTCCAATCTGAGGGAACTTTGTAACTGAAAGATCTCTGTCCTACCTTTTTAGTGATTTTTGGTATTTTGAATTAAGGATATTGGAGATGTCTAAATGGATATGATGAGGCAGACAAGGTTAAGTAAGTGCATTTATAAATGATGAAATACCAGTGTAATTGTCTTCTTGATCTGGGCTGCAACCAGTTTAGACAGTTGTACATGAGACAGTGATGAATTCTATATGGACACCTCAAACCTGCACAGAGAGTTCTATAAGACATTGAGAGGTTTGAGATGAGTGTCTGTGGTGTTTTGATACACAACATTGGCATAGTCAATCAATGGAAGTAGTATTTGAGTGATAATTCTTTTCCTTAAATCAAAAAAAAAAAGCAATTAATTGATATTATGCACTGTAGATGACAAGGAAGATTATTCAGAAATTGCCCAACATTTGCCTACACAGTCTCGCACAGAGCAGTCAACCTCTTTTCCATCCTACATCATGAGAGACTCAGCCTCTCTTCAATGTTTTTATACTGATTTATGTTACTTACCTGTTTCAAATTGACACCATTAGTTAAATGATTTTTTACTGTTTAATTAATGATCATTTTAGCATTTAACAACCTGTGTAGCTTTTGTTTTTTGCTGTGTGACAAAATGTGTGCAAGAGAACCAAACAGGTGCAGAAGTTTGAGAAAGACTCAAAGGATGTTAAGAAAATGAAAACAAAAGTATGAGAAGACAAAGTTGATGAATGCAGTAAAAAGTGATAAAAAATGTAAATAAATAAACAATGAAGAAGTAATGGCAATAAACAAAAGAAATAAAAAACTGGGGAAATAAAGCAATAACAAGTAATAAAAGAGGGTCTAAAATACTAATAATAAAAGAAATAAAAAGAAATACAGGAAACAAAAGCAAGAAAGAGATATAAAAAAATAGATAAAAAAGTTGAGGATGAAGTTGGACTCAAACAAAGTCTGCTATAAAATCATATCATAATGTATTAGAGTAAAAAGTTCCACCTCATCAGGGGATCCAATAGTTTTTCAGTGAATGTTGTCCCTCAAACAAAGTTGTCATGGGGCTGTGAGTAAAGGTTATCTCTGAAAAATATGCATTAATTTATGTAATCAGTTAGCTACAGCAGCACAGAGTCACTAGCATGAATTCAGTTGGGGGATTTTACCCTGTCAAAGTGGATTTCTTGCAGGGTGTGGCTCCTGACTGACCCTCCTGACAACCTTAGACCTCCATGATTCTTCTTTTCTTTACGTCTTCGGTTAGGGGTGCTTTCAGGAACTCTGGGGTCCCTGCAAACACACCTCATTGGGCCCAGTCCCCACAGCCCAAGCCAACTGTGCATGACGCAAATCATCTTTTAAGAGCATTAAATATCTATAACTATTTTAATCCCCTGACAACACATTTTAGTTTGTTGAATAACAGCAAAGAGGCTCAAAGAAACAGCAGATTTAGCCACACTGTTCAAGTTTGCATGTGTTTTGCACATGCAAACCTTTAGTAGATCAGGCCTTATGACTTAAATAGAAGTGTTCCTCTCACTCATTCACATACTTTAACACAACTTCATTTAGCATGAAAGACTTTGGGTTTGTTTGGCATTGTTGGCACAGTTTTAAAACTAACACAAAGGGCTCTATTTTCGTGACTGCCGGCAGCACGGCGGAGAATGGCGGACCCCGCAGTGGTATTTTTGTCTGGCGGAGCCCGGTGCACAGTCAGTATGATATTGTCGTAGACTGAGACGCACCAAGGTCCGCCAAGCTGGGCGTAGTGGCGCGGTAGGGAGGGGTGTCGACAAAATCAGCTGGCACAATGACATTTTTGTGCCCGCCGGCGGTGGGAGGAGTTGAGTTAGGGAGGGGGGATACTTATGCCGGGCTGCGCCGCTCACCAAAATACCAAAATGTGCTTGGGCACACCTTGTCGGCACAGCGCGGCCGACCTGACTTATGCTGTACCTATGCCACGCCGCTGGTGAGTCACGGAAATAGAGCCCAAAGCGTGAATCTGAAGTGTGAGTTTGAAACAGGTCTGTCAAAATGAGAAGAACGGAGAAGTTTTGTTTTTCAAGCCCATCAAGGACTGCCTTCCCCGAGCGGGCCCTGGATAGTTGGTCCCACTTTTCCCCTCCTATGATGACCCTGCTTTAGTGAGGAGTACAAGCTAAATCTGCTGCAGATCATCTTGATACAGTCTACTTTGTGCCTGATCTAGTCCCAGTAGGTCCTGGCCATATTTTATTGAAAACACAGAGGCATCAATTTAAAAATACAGACTGTTTCATATCCAGGTAAAACTCCTCACATTATTTTCAGACTGATCAAACTAATCTGTTTGAGACAATACACCTGCAAACGCTCCCAAAGAGTGTATCACTGGCTTAGACTCATGAATTATTTGCAACAAAGAACTCTGATCCACTTTTTATTCACCCAGTCTCTTTTTTACTAATCCTGAATAGCTAAGAAGAAATAAAAGTGCACATCAAAGGAGCAGGTCAGAGGAGGTTAAGCAAAGACTACATTTATAGTCTCACTTTTTCCAAGAACAGAGGATGAAACCCTGCCAAAAATCAAAACGTTGTTGGTTTCCAATTAAGAAACACAGTGTTTAATTTTGTGCGAATAAACATGAATTTATAGAGATTCAATAAAAACATTTCCATGTCTTTAACTGCTTTACTTAACGCTCCTTAATGTGAAAAGAAGCAGGTCTGGCTGTTGGACTCCCTTTGTCTGAACAGAGTGACAAATTAATTCTAGCTTTATAACTTTGGGGTCTCTGGATGTGATAATTGTAGTGCTTGAGACGCACACACGCGCTCATACACACACATTCTTATCAGTCAATAAACTAAGTTCCGTGCATCATCCAATAAGTACTTCCCATATGAGCTGTGACAGTGAGTGTGTGTGTATGTGTTATCTTGCATTGACTCACTGTTGCAATTTCGCAGGCCTCTCTGAAATCCAGCGCTGCCTCAAGCTAACAAAACTATTAGCAATGCAGCTGAGCATAAACACCATTTGACCCGGGTGTGACCCTAAATTGATGCAGGAGTGGACACGCCTGGCTGAATGCGATGTCTCTGTAATAACTGCTTTTAAGATGGCTGCAACATTACATCCACATAAAAGGGTTGGTTTAAAGCGTGGCGGCGCCTCTGCTGCCAGCCTCATTATGGGGGGAACATCAAACACTCCACTAGGACATAATCCCAGCCAGTTTCAGTGCTCAGGCTTTCAGCAATAATCAAAGAATACAGGTAGATGCAGAATAAGTTAATTCTGCAGATTAGTGGGGGTGCTCCAAAATGAGGGGAACGAGATAGGAGCAGAAAGAGGAGGAAGAAAAACTCTGCAGAACAAAGGAGATCAGGAAAAACAGCAACCTAAAAGACCCAGGAGAGGAAAGGAGAGGGTTACAGCTGTCCGATCAATACCACAGTAATCCATACCTCTATACACAACTCAATACTCTACTCATCTGGTATCAGTACCTATTACACAGTATTGATTACATAATGTTTTATGCAGTCACAAGGATCCCACAAATGCACTTTCTGCAGTCAAACAGCTTCATGTTTGTGAAAGTGAATGGACCCCAGCGACACAAGAATCCTATAAACCCACAGCGAAGGCTTCCCCTTTTATTAATGCAATCGAAACATTACAGCTTCTTCTCTCATTTATACATGCTCTCCAATCTAAACGCTGACTCTCTCCCACTGAATACCAATGAATCAGTACCACCTTAAAGCAATACTTCCAACTGGACTGACACTGAGGATGAAGCACACAGCAACCAAGAAAATGAGCTAGTAAACTGGATTTGAGTTGGTGGAGGATAATCTCTTTGTGATTCAAACATTTTTTAAAAAAAACATAGCATCAATCTGATCATGTTTTCACCAAAAACATGAGATTTAAGCAGTTCTTCTGTGTGGACAGAGATTTTTAGTACCAAGGTGTTGAAACAAAGAGATACAAACATAGCTTTGAGCTGAACAAGCTGTAGTGATATTTGCACGTTTATTTATTGGCTCTTTTTTTTGTTTGCTTTAAATCTGATGTTGCCCTTGGTTTATTCCAGGGGTTATCTAATTATTTACCTGAGTGCTTTTCACTGATGTATTTTGTTTACTGATTTTATTATGTCTCTCATAAGATGTGATTGACCGAATGTCGGAGCTGAAAATGACGTCACACCCGAGTTCCCAACGTTTCAGTTACCAAGTCGAAAAAAAAGCAAAATCAGAGGCCTGAAACAAGATGGATACATCTACGAAAGTTATTTTAGCGCCTGCCTTATATTCGGACAAGGCAAGCACTAAAAGAACTTTCGTAGATGTAGCCATCTTGTTTCCGCCTCTGATTTTGCTTTTTTCTGACTTGGTTACTGAAATGCTGGTAACTTGGGTGTGACATCATTTTCAGCTCTGACTTCCGAGGTAACTCAAACACAACATTATTACTGCGACATGTTGTCGTGGTTACATAAAACTCCTGCTACTACAGGGGAAAGAGGAGCTATGCCTGATCCTGCCACTTGATGAAGTGAATTTCATTAAGCATGTGACATGGAGAAGACTTCAGCCCATAGCCAACTCAAGAAAGAGCCAACATAAGATGCATAAAACCATGTGCATATAGATGAAGATACTCCAGTAGACTGATGCCATCATGTCTGAGATGGGTTGGGATGCTGGTTTTGAGGACAGAGGTAGAATAGCAGCAGTTTGACCCAGTGAACAGACAACTGATAGTGAGTAGTTCTACAGTATGTTGTGTGTTATAATTAGGGCTTTCACAGTACACTGGTGTTGACGATAACAGTCTTTATCAGGGAAGTAATGATCAACAGATGAAAATACCAATATAGATAGTCGATTCATTGAAGGGGGAGGTAGTGGTTCTGTGGACACGCAGGAGCAGAACATAAGAGACTGTGCCTTTTCCGGGCTCTTACAAATATAAGATATCTTTTAGTTTCTGATGAGTGTGGCTGGGTTCATCTGCTTCAGCCACACAGGAGAATTATTTGAAGCACACAGTCGTGCCGTTTCCATTGATCAGCATCAGCACCTGAAAGTGCTGTATGAATGAGACGATCAGTGTGGAACAATTTAGAGAGTGCTGTAAGGTGGGCGAACGGCGAGAAAATACCTGAGTTTCAAAGCATGGGGCCACACCAGGTAACAGACGAGTGTGAAAAGTGTTTATTGTTTGTTTAAACACTCGGGAGGGAAGGACCACTTGGCAGCTGTTTGTTGCAGGGCTCCATGACAGCAGAACACAAGCCTAAAGGTGCTGTCAGGCTGTAATGTTTTCTTCATCGCCTGCTTTGTTTTCAGCGTAAACACAGACCTCTACGGCAAGAAAAGAGAGGGCAGCTGCAGCTCTCATAAACAGGCATGGCTATGAGTCACTGCCATCTGAATCGATGTTGGATCAACTTTTTCAACTTACTGCTGTGGCACTCAGGGTGACCATGGCAACCACACTGAAGGGAGATGATGCAGGAGCAGACTTGAGTGAAATCTGAATTCCCTTAATTATTCACCTTTCTAGCAGCAGAGAGCAAACATGTTCAGGAAGGAGCCAAATTAGCCTCCATTTATTTGCCCTGCCACGTCTCTGTCAGCTTCTTCTTCTATATCTGAAAGTAAATTCTGCTGCGTTACCGGGTGATGGGGCTGTATTCATCGGATAGCATCAGTGGTGTGTCATAAAGCTTGACTGAGAGAGCTCTGTGATCAACACCTGCAAAGTTTGCCTGGACCTCAACCTCATCTAACACTTTTGGAATATCAACTTTAAATCTGGCTGTAACTTCAACATCCCAGTGAGAGTATAGTTATACCCTTTAGACTGAATGGGGTCAAATATTCGCAGCCAAACCCCAAAAATGGATGCTGTTGAAATTGCTGGTTCAATCTTGAAAGGCATCATGGGAGCTCTGGTGAAATAACCTCTGTATGCCCCTCGAGTGCGCAAGAAATCCCAAATGTTTATGAGATCAATAGAGCAATTGGCTCGTGCCTGAGCAGCGTCTTGGTCTCTGTCTCATACCTATCATTTTCCTTTCTTATGATCTGTCATTATTTCCACCATCAAAATATATCACCAATCTCATCATGTCCTTGCCAGTTTTTTTCATTTATTTCCACAGCTTATTAATCTCCAGCTTGAGCAGTCAGCAAACACTCTTTCTGGCTATTTTCTGGTATTTGCAACTGTGTTTTGGGCTCTTGCCGACCTGTGCTGTTCTATTTCTATGGACTTACATAACTGCCCGTAAGCATGTATTTGACCACAATTAACTTCTTGCCAAGTTTCTGCTGGGCCTGTGTCTGATTTGGTATCATCTCCTTCCTACTTACACTGAAACAGATCTGGCAGGCATCTCTCTGAAAACATACCAAAACAGGGGAAATGCTTTCTCAGAATAGGCGAGGAAATGTGCTCATCAACAAGGATTTCTTTACACAAAATAGGCCTAATGAAAGAGATGCTGTTGCAAAAACATGCTGAGTATTTAGCCAATACTGTACAAAGACAGACCCAGTGCTTGTAGAAAGAAGTTAGTTCAATATCACTCTGATTGCACACGAGTATCACATCCAAACAGATTAGAGAAATGAGGATATTGAAGTTTGATTTACATTTTTGACATTAACTTAGGGCTGGGCAATAAACCGAAAATGTACTGATACAGAAATTTACGCCAATAACCAACGTCGTTTTGCCCATGTCAAGATATTTGGTGACAAAAAATAAATAAATAAAAGTTGGTTTTGGATGTGTGTAGGTGGTCTATGGTCAGAGACGGGACTCCACCCCACCCAGTCTGTAACAAAGAGGGAAAGACACATGAGGAGATGGAGGACGGTTCAAAAGCTGTAGCGGCTGGAGCAGCGGCTGAAGTAGACAAAGTCAATATGGGAGGGGGTGAGCAGCTTGTGGAGTAGTTATCGTCCATTTATCGTTATCAAGGTGAACTGCTCAATATATTGTGATATTGATTTGAGGCCATATCGCCTAGCCCTACATTAACCCACTTTACCTAAAACCAGGAAAACCCAGTTGAGAGGGTGTGTTTTTTCTGTTGCTCCATCAAAGTCAAATAAGCTTTTGGCAGATTGTTTGACATGAAACTTTTGACAGTTCCTCGGACTACAAGTAGTTCAGCTTAAAAACACAAAGGGATAAGATAAACTGTATACTGCATGATCCTTCCCAAGTTTTAATCTTGCATTTTTGTCATTCCTAACTTGTAAGGCTCAAAGTCAGAGGGTCAAAATCATCATTTACAGAGATGAACATTTTCTCTAAACTGCAGAAGATAATATTCTATCAAGTGTATTTGTCAAAATTTCTAATTTGATTTGATTGATTGTTTCAGATATCTCCTCATGCCTATTTGGGCTAATTTTTATTGAGAAACTTCATCTTTAGCAGGTCAAATCTCTGTTTTTACCTGTCATACCTTGGAGTAGGTCTCATGTATAGAATTCAGTTGAATGTGAGTCATATCAAGTGTAACACATCATTCTGACCAGACATTAGATATAAAGAGCCGTACTGTACAACTGTTGTAAAGTGTTTGCTGGGAAAGGCGACTATCGTTGTTTTTTTTATCATCCAACGCTCTTGTCAGTTTTACACCCATTGTGTTGAAATAACAGATGAGCTTGTGTCCACATTCGTGGCCAGATTTTGCAAAGCAGAGCCCTGCACTTCAGTCTGCACATTTCAGAGTTTTGAAATATGCTCCATAGACTTTTTTCTTTTAAGTTTCAATCTTGCAAAGAGAAGCTCAAATTTTACAGTCAATGCATTCTCTAACTCTTAAACCTATACTCCCAGGAGAGAGAGCTCTGAATTTGTAGCCCATGGTGCCAAAGTAATTCTGAGCAAATATAGACCATCTGGAGCACTTATTAGATGCTTGAGGAACTTGCCCAGCAGTTAAAGTCAAATGATGTATCAGAAAAACCAATTAAGTTTACTTTAAGTGTCACCTTAACTCGCGTTTGACAATAAGGTAAAAGTTCAGCCATCTTTTTAACCTGCTTTATCCCCCCCCCCCCCCCAAATAAATAAATAAATAAAATTGAATAAAATAAAAGTCACCTGTATCTGCTTAAACCTGACCAAGCAGACATCAACAATGTGTCATAAAGGCAAAAGTCAAATCCAATCACAGATCCTGGTACTTTCTTCATGAGTGCTATTTATTTGATGAAATATTAGGGCCACATTACTGAATAAAATTATGGCATTTCAGGAAAAGAAGTGAGTAAGTGTGAATAAAGCAATCGTCTAATGAGAGTGAAGTCTTCTTTTACTCAGACTCTAAATCATTTTTAAGGCCAGAAAAGTATTTTGTGATGTTGTACTTTAAGAAACCTTTCACAAATAATCAAACATAATTCTCAATTTTTTTATTCATGTTTTCAGAGTCCTAAAAAATTACATTATTATGGTGCTGATGCTGTATATCCTTTTTTTTTGTGAAATAACATGCAGACAAATGATGGACTAAATTGTTTACTTCACAATTGGACATTTTTGACTGTATTCTCATGATATTGTGACTTTTTTGGTCCCCTTAAATGGCCTTTCATCCAATCCTCCATTTTATATTGCATACACATTTCAGAAAATGTTTATTTAAAATATTCTGCAGTGTTTCCATACAAAAATACTATAATATATTAGGGTTAAAATAATTACCTGTGTCTGTCTCTGAACGCTTTAAT